TTTCCCTTTCTGAGAGCCTATCCGAGGCACTCTTTTGAACGTGTGCGCCTGAGCGAGCTGCACTCTCCGTTACCTGCATAGGCCCTCTTTGTAATGTGCTGCAGCTGCCAGCCTCTTCTACAAAGAGAGGTGCAGGACTCGCTAAGCCAGTCCCCCAGAGACTCTGGGCTTTCACCGCTCTGGGGAGAGGGGGACGTCTTGGACGTCCGTGCCTGCCCAGCAGTCTCTTCAAGAGGATGGTGTCCAGCTCCCCGCTCCCTTCCCACCTCCTTACCTCCCTGGGAGAAGAGCGATGGTCTCACAGCAGCGCAGTGAGGAAAGCAGCCCCGACTCTGGGATGTGGTGAAGCTGAGTGCACCGTCCTCCTTCAGGGACACCTGGCTTTGGATCATTGCCTCCCTCAGGAAATGAGTGTGAGGACTGTGGTCTTGGTCTCTTCCCCATACTCTCTCGTTCTTTTTTTTCTTTTTTTTAAGGATTCATTTGAAAGGCAGAGTTAGAGAGAGGCAGAGGCAGAGAGACAGAGAGAGGTCTTCCATCCACTGGCTCACTCCCCAGATGGCCACAATGCTGGAGTTGTGCTGATCCAAAACCAAGAGCCAGGAGCTTCCTCCAGGTCTTCCACGTGGGTGCAGGGGCCCAAGGACCTTGGTCATCTTCTACTGCTTTCCTAGGCCATAGCAGAGGGCTGGATTGGAAGTGGAGCAGCCCGGACTTGAACAAGCACCCATATGGGATGCCGGCACTGCAGGTGGCGGCTTTACCTGCTACGCCACAACCCCAGCCTCTCAATGGTTTATTGAAGCGATGTCTTGTGGAGGTGACCTTTGGAAATCATTGAGTAAAGGTCAGGAAATAGCAAGAAACCTGGCTCTAGGATACTGAGAAAGATGGTGCTGCTGATAAGAAAGGAGCTGGATTGGTGGTGGCAAGGATGGGGTGGGGATGAGGGACAGGAAAGCGGAACAATCATTGTGGCTTTGGTCTGACCTGTTTCTCCCTGGTTCACATCTTACACAGTTGGTTTGTTACACACAGTAGGCGTATTAGCACCTCCCTACCTGGACCAAACAGCCAATTCAGTAGACTGAAAAGCCAGAACATGGTCTAGTATTGTGGCTTAGTGGATAAAGCCACCACCTGCAATGCTGGCATCCCATGTGGGCACCAGTTCGTGTCCCAGCTGCTCCACTTCTGATCCAGCTCTCTGCTAATGGCCTGGGAAAAGCAGTGGATGATGGCCTAAGTGTTTGGGCCCATGCCACCTATGTAGGAGACCTGGAAAAAGTTCTTGGCTGCTGGCTTCGACCTGGCCCAGCACTGGCCATTGTAGCAATCTGGGGAGTAAACCAGCAGATAGAAGATTCTCTCTCTCTCCCTCTCTCCCTCTCCCCCTCTCCCTCTCCCCCTCTCCCCCTCTCCCCCTCTCCCCCTCTCCCCCTCTCCCTCCCTCTCTCTGTCCCTCTCTCCCCCTCTCTTCCTTTTCCTCTCCCTCTCTCCCCCTCTCCCTATAACTCTGACTTTCAAATAAAATAAATAATTCTTTAAAAACAAAAGTTATGTAGTTATGGCCAGCTCATCTGGAAGCAGGAACAGGTGAGAGTCTCCCAAGTACCACTTCCCATCTCCCCACCACTCCCATTTGGCTCATATCATTCCAAGACAGGCAGATTTCCCAGGGGTCACTGGGCTAGTTCTCAGCTATGGCCAGAGATCTTCCATCTGGCTCACATCCCACATGGCCACAGCAGCTGGGACTGAGCCAGACTGAAGCCAGGAGCCTGGAACTCTAACTGGGTCTCCCACGTCAGTGCAGGAGCCCAAGCTCTGGGCCCACCTTCTGCTGCTGTCCCAGGTGCATTAGCAGGGAGCTAGATTGGAAGTGGAGCAGCCACAACTCGAACCAGTGCTTATGTGGGATGCCACTGGGACACAGCACTGACTCCTCATGGCTCTTTATATAGCGATTGTTACTTGACCTTGAAGTAAGGCTGGCTGTGCCTCCAAGCCCATTCTGATGGCTAACCAACCACACACTAGCTCAGTAAGTAGCATTAGTTGGGTGGCAGACGTTCAGCCTAGCAGTTAAGATGCCTTGTCCCCTTCTCAGAGTACCTGGGTTTGAGTCCTGGCTCTGCCTCCTAATCCCAGCTTTTTCTAATGCAGGCCTCATCTCCAGCTCCTGATTGCACCCACTTTCTAAAGTGATCCCTGCCACCCATGTGGGAGGCTTGGATTGAGTTCCCGGCCCTGGGTTTCAGCCCCATCCCTGTTGTCATCTGGGGAGTGAACCAGCAGATGCGTGCTCTAGGGCATCTGTCCATCTATCTCTCTCTCTCTGCCTCTTCATGATAATAATCACATAAGCATCATTCAGCGCCTATTGTCCATAACTGGAAGAAGGCAGGCTCATGTGGAGCAGCCAGAACCCCAAATTATATTTGTGTTTGTCTCTAAGCTCTTCCCTGGCCGTGAGTGCCTTATGCATTCCCGAGTCCCATAGCCTTCTTGAATACTTCTAACTGAATAACTAAGAGAATGACTGAGTAGGGTGCATCCTAGTCCTGTGGGCGGCTGTCTGACCTTGAATAAGTCATTTATCTTAGCAGGGCCTCGGTTTCCTAATCTGTAAAATAAGGGTTACCATCCTGATCTCAGGATGATATAATTTCTTTTGTCCAATTAAAATATGTTGGGTAGAGTGGTATTTTGTAAAGAGGTAGAATACTTGTTTTTAAGAGTGCTATCTTCCAAAGAGGTTCTACTCACTTTGTTTTCTGCAATCCTTTGACCTGCTTTTTCAGGAGACAAGAGGGTGTTGAACTGTAGAGAGTATTGAACTGTAGTTTGAGGGCTCTGAAGTTAAAATTCTGATTGTGGACTCAACAGCTCTGTGGTTGGGGGCACTGGAACTCTTTGAACCCAAGGTTCCTCCTCTGGAGAGTGACAGTAATGAGGTTTTTCTCTGTGAGTTCCCGTGAAGGTTCGATGGAGAAAGAACTTGGAAAACTATACAGAAATCATTCCTGCTCCCATGGTCATGCTCCTATTCTTATTCAGGCTGAGTCTTGCAGCCCCTCAGGCTCTGTGTCTGATGCTGCCCCTTGGTCTTCATCTAGAGTTATCTTTCTTTTCCCAGTTCCTTCTCCCTTCCCTCCCACCTCGACTCATCCTTCAAGACTAATCTATAGCTATCCCTCTCCATAAAGCCATTGCAGACTACTAGGATCGCTTCCCTCTCTTTCTGCACTGTAGTTGTAGTCAATATCACACCATTTCTTGCTTGAGTAACTTCTTCCTCATGCATTTTTAAGCTCAAACAAACGAACATCCCTTCCAGGATGTCACTTCCACTTTGGCCTTCCCGTGATAACCAGCAGGGTGCTGGACACGTGCAGTGCTCCTCCTTGAGTGCATGTGCTGTAGAACGGGCCGCCCTTCTTCTATTCCCCATGGCACACTTCCTTTCCTTCCCTGTCTGTTTTCCTTCTACTTATGCTTAGGGCCAACCTGCACAGTGTCTCCACGGCTATTTTTTCTTGATTCCCTCTTGTTTAGAACTATACCTTCCTTCCTGTTCATTGGGACACACTTCTGTGATTTGAATGTGAGTGGGTCGTCCATGCACCTGCCTCTCTGGAGGACATAGTCCATAACTTGTCTTTGTGTTTTTTTTTTTTTTTTGCTTTCAAACTTTTATTTAATGAATATAAATTTCCAAAGTACAGCTTATGGATTACAATGGCTTCCCCCCCATAACGTCCCTCCCACCCGCAACCCTCCCCTTTCCCACTCCCTCTCCCCTTCCATTCACATCAAGATTCATTTTCGTTTTTCTTTATATAAGGAAGATCAGCATAACTTGTCTTTGTGCTCACCTCTCCACCCTGAAAAGCCTGGAACACTTCACTCATACATTCTTAGACTGATGCAGTACCTGCTACCTGCCAGGCACTGTGCTAAATGCTTTGGACAACATGGTGAGCAAACTAAACATGAGCTTACCCGTATGAAGACGTAGTATGTGGGACCCAAACATGGATCACAAAGTCACGGAAAAGGACGTGACACTGCAGCTCTAACGCCTGGTGTAGAGGAGAGGTACCTGGAGCTAGAGGAGGTCAGATATCAGGGGAGACTTTGTTGAAAAACTGCAGAAAGGCGCTTTATGAATGTTTGATGAATTGTATGGAATTGAACGGCGGCTGCTCAATAAATACTCCTTGATTGGTTGATTGATTGTTGGCAGAGCCTTTGGAAATCGTGAGAAGAAAGGGCCTCGGGTCCCCATCATTCTTATTACATAATTATTTCCGTGCATTTAAATTTTCCCATTTTTCATCTCATACTTTAAACATCAGGGGAAACGGATGGGCCAACTTTATAATATTTTTAAATGGCTCTGTGGTGTTTTGGAAGATTACGTGGCTGTAAGAGTTTATGTATATTTAATATACTTATTAAAATATGCAGTAAGCCCATGGCTGATTTTCTCTAAGGACGTCTCAGTGCCGAGGTGGGACTTAAATGTTTAATACTAATAATAATACACATAACTCACATTTCTCTAGAGCTTTTCATCTCTGGGATCCCTAAAGCCTGTGTGCACCACACCAAGTGGATGCAGCTGGGCTCGCCAGGAGGCGAAGAGGAAGTGCATCTGTCTCCCGGCCTTCCTCTGGGGAGGAGCAGGGGTGACTGACTGACAGGGCTCTGGCTTCCTCTGTCTGCATCAGATTTTTCCCTCCCCGACACACATTCCCCTTGGCTGTCTCTGAAAGGCTCCCATTTATGTGCAGTTGTTCCTGTCTGCCATAAATCACGCTCTGACTCAGGACAGGCAAGAAGACTTGATGCACCTGGGGTGAAGGAAGGCACATCCTGTGGTTCCTTTGGTGGGTCAAGGACAGGAGGCGGAGGCTTGACAGTCAGAGAGGAGAAGGACAAAGGGAAGGTCGGTGCTTCTGCCTAAATCCATGCCGTGTCTCTTCCTTGTCTAGGTCACAGAGACCAGGACAGGTCCTCTGGGCTGCAGCAACTATGACAATCTGGACTCAGTCAGCTCTGTCCTGGTGCAGAGTCCAGAGAACAAAGTGCAGTTACTAGGTAAGCAGCAGCACTGTGGTTCCCGCTGTTTATAGCGAGTGAAACCTGGGTCACCAACGAGCAGGAGAAAGTCCTGCCTTCCTCCTTAAGTTAAACCCTGCTCAGGACAGGAACTGCCACTGGGACCTGCCCGTCACAACGTTCCGCCATTCTTTGAGAAAACTTGGTATGGTTCCCCCTCACATACACCAAGACCCTTTGTTCATTCCATCTGACAGGCCAGTTCTTCCACCTAAGATCCTCCCCAAGATCTCTCTCTATCCCACAAGGAGCGGCAATCTGTCCTATAAAGCCTTGACCTCCCCCAAATTCAGTGATAACCCCCAACCCAAATCCTCTGCTGTGTCCTAAAGACACACTGGGAGAAGTCTGGCCTTTCCGGAGAGCTTAGGGGCCAGCTAAGAGCTATACAAACTGGGATCACCAGCTACTGTAACCACACCCTGAACATGGCCCCCACCTCCTGTCATGAGTATGGATCTTCCCTGGGATAATCCACACCTGGAGAAGCGCTTGGGGCATGGGAACCTACTGACTGGAGACAGAAGACTCAAACCAGGGGAACAAAGACATGGGATCGCATTAGGTTTGGAGGCTTTGAGATGGGACAAGGGTGTATGTCCTGCTTTCTGTCCCACCCCTCCCACCCCCATTCCCTTCACCCCCTAACATACACACACATCCCAGGGCAGTGGCTATGCAAACAGATTCAGTGGGGAAAAGTTCATTTTTTAAAGCCTATGGGACCTCTAGAGTGTTTAGGATATTATTGTCTCAGCATTACAAAATCAATAGCCCTCTCCCAGGATCTACGATTACAAATTCCGGGCAACCTTTGCCAGATGCAGCCCAGCAATGCTTTAGGAATCAAGACATATATAATAAAAAAGGAGCAAAAGACCCCTTTATTTAGAGCTGCCTAATGCAATTAGTATCCCTTTTCTGCTCTGTCCCTGGATGGGCTGGGTTGGTGTCTGGAAATTAGCGGTGAGTGAAGTTCAAAATGTCTGGTGGTTCATTTTGAATAGTTTATGCCATTTAATTTTATAGCCCATCACTCATGCAGACACTGCTCGGGGCACTTATTTTACAGCAATGGGAAATGTTCTGGTGAGGAGGAGGGGAGGCGGACGGAGTGAAGGAAAGTACTTGGAAAACCTGAATGTTGAAAGCAGACACATAGGTAGGGTACGTGAGAAGGACTGCCCTGGCGCCGTGGATGGCAGACTCCAGAAAGGAAAATGTGAGAGGTAGACCGCACACAAGAGCAACAGATGTGCACTGCTGCTAGCAATTTTAAGGTATGCTTTGAGGTCTGCCAATACTGGGATACACACTTTGGCTTTTCTGATTTCCTGCCAAGGACAAGGTCAAAGGTGTAGAAATAAAGAGCTGGCAGACATTTGAGAAAGGGGAGCTCATCAGATCCAGAAGTGGCCCTTGCCCTCACTCTCCTGGCCCGAGGTCTCACATGTCCCTGCCGTGGAGCCACCTGCTGGTCTGACCTGGAACATGGCCCAGAGTGATCCCAAAGGCTTGGCTACCCTTCCTTCATGGGCTGCTATATGTGTGGCATGAGACCATATTGGTAAACCAACAACCCCCACAGATAGGTGAGAAAGCCAAACCTGAAACAGCCATATCCACAACCATAGGAAACTAATTGGAAGTGTGAACTGAGAGACATTCATATCTATCCAGGCCTGATTGATCTTGGGGCATTGGTCACTCTCCTACTTGTAAATTAAATTATATTGAGACAGAACAGCCAGACCCAGATACACCGTAGGAACAAGGACAAGGTTAAGAACTGGCACCAAGACTCCACTAGTGCTGTGACCTGGCCGTAGATTCCCTTATCTATAACAACCTGACCATATGTGTTACTTGCATTCACATATAGATAGTACTTGGCATAGTGCTGACTCCTGTATACCCGTAGTGCCTGTTCCTACCTCCTAACCAAGGCAGCCTGCTTGGTCATCATGGCTGGAGTGGGAGGCCGGGAGGGTCAGCACTCAGTAACGTCCCCAGGATGCCCACTACTGATCCGAGTGAAGCCAGAGCAAACTGGCTATCAGAGGCTGGGCGAAACGCTCATCAAGCCTTGCTTCTTCCCCCATGAGGGCTGCACACTTTTCTTTTATCTGAAACATCTTCCCATTTCCACCCTAGAAATGCTGATAAGCAGCCAGCCTGCCTGTGATTTTATGATATGCATGCTCTCAATTTGGCTAATGTGAGGGGTTCTGCTAAGCCTTAGGCTTTGATGTTCCTCATCTGCATTTTTGGATCCTCCCCCATCTGTCACTGGGGCAGTGGAGCCCTCTCTCCCAGCCAGCTCAGCAGACTTGGGCCCTGGGGCAACCGCTCTCGGGCCCAGGGCCCAGTCTGGAGTTCCTGTGGCCTTCGGAGGGAAACTGAGTCTCCCTGCTTCTGCCCAGCAGGGCCTTGATAGACCCTTTCCTCAGGCCTGCAGGTGCTGCTGCCCGAGTACCTGCGTGAGCGCTTTGTGACCGCAGCACTCAGCTACATCACGTGCAGCTCGGAGGGCGAGCTGGTCTGCAAGGAGAATGACTGCTGGTGCAAGTGCAGCACCCCCTTCCCGGAATGCAACTGTCCTGACTCCGACATTCAGGCCATGGAGGACAGCCTGCTACAGATCCAGGACTCCTGGGCCACGCACAACAGGCAGTTTGAGGAATCCGGTGAGTAGTCGGATGGCCTGGAATTTCTCCCCGCCAGTGACAGGTGGCTGCAAGGTGCCACACGAGAGCATGAGGCACTCAGCTTGGGTCCTGGACTCTGTGACCTGAGGCACCAGCCCGAGTCTCAGGTGGCTTGGTCTTGTCTATGTATAAATGGATGTAATATCTACCAAGCAGGTGTATTCTGAGTATTTAATAAGTTAAGATGGGGCAAGTATTTGGTGCCGTGGTTAAGATGACATAATAGAGAGCCTGGGTTCAGGTCCCATCTCCATCTCCTGATTCCAGCTTCTTACTAATGCAGACCCTGGGAGACAGTAGAGCTGGCACAGTACGTGGATCCTTGCCACTCATATGGGAGACCTGGATTGAATTCCTAGCGCCCAGCTTTGGCTCTGCCCAGCCCTGGCTGTAGCAGGCATTTGGCAAGTGAACCAGTGGTTAGGAGCTCTGTCTATCTTTCAAATAAATAGAAATAAGTACTTGAAATTCTTTTTGAAGAGTTTGAGGGTATAGATCTTGTCTATTTGCTACTGATTCCACAGTGTCCTAGAAAAATGATTGTACATAAGGCACTTATTAAATATTTGTTGAATAAATGAAGTGCATTCAATAGTTCTAGATGGCACCTAGTAGGAGCTAGATGTTGCTCTTTGCTGTTATCACTCATATCAATGTGCCCTTGAGAGACCTAGATTGAGGAATTGGTTTTGCATCCTTGCCTTATTACTGCCGAGCTGTATGGCCTTGGATCAGCTGTTAGCTTCTCAGTGCCCCAGTTTCCTCATCTGAGAGAGAGACTGATAATCATAGGTATATGGAAATACCACATAGAATAATGGAGATGAAATAAACATTTTATGATCTCTGCCTGGTATACTCTCACAATTCAATACTAAACGAGACTTACATGGATATAATTTTGGGTAAAACAAAGCCAGATGGAAAAGGTTATGTATTATATAGATATTTGTATTCATACAATCTTTGTATATAATACTGTAGTGCAATTTATTAAATATATATATTTAGTACTATTTACATGATGTTTACAAACATGCTATGTAACAGATAATATTTGTAGGCATCAACGTGTTTGTAGAAAACATAAAATATATGTGGCAATGATAGCAAAACCCCCAAAAGAGTAGTTACATTTGCATGGAGAGGGAGAGGAAGTTTAGGAACTTCAGGTATATCAAGTTTACCTTCTTAAAAGGAAATCTGAAGTTAATATGGCAAACACTAGGTGGAAGCCACAGGGGAGTGTGGCCTGTTTTCCTCTATGCTCTTCCATATGCTGAAAATGTTTTATAAAAGGAACGATGCATTGTTCATTGTTAGTGCCGTCACTAAGCATGATTCTTCAGTCCCCTGGGGTAATAAAGAGACAGCAGAAATCAGGATGGGCATTGACATTCCAAATCTTAGACAAGGCATTCAGTTGCTAAGCAGAATATCATGTTCCAGGCTCCCACCCCAAGATTTGGGCTAACAGTGGTGTGAGATGTTCCAAAGCATGACTTTGGGCTTTCTCCACCATAAGTAAGCAGGGGTGATCTAGACCTACATCAGCAGACCTGGTGGCTGCAGGTCAAAGCAGAGCAGAGGACAGACACCTGAGTATGAGCACAGACAACATGGTGTACCCAGGAAGCTCAGGAGAGAGCTCAGTCCTAAAGAATGGTAAAGAGCCCAGGAGAGAAGGAGGGTCTTAGAGACTCGGAAGGAAAGGTGGGAGGGGACAGCTGGGCTCAGGGACCCACAAAGTTCTCAGAAGGCTTCCGAGCTGGGTGCTGTGTGCATTCCACCTTCCCAAGTGCCTCACCTTGTCCATCAAGAGGCTGTGGGATTATGCAAGATCGGCCTGAGACAATGCTGAGGGTGCCTTGTAAGAGGTTTAGAGGGAGAAAGAGATGCATCCCAAGGTCGTCGGCAAGAACAAGATTGGTCCCTTGGTTGGTGAGAGAGATCTGTTCTGAAATTCAGTAGCATATAAGAGCTAACAGGGCTGGCCGGAGGAAAATTCCTGAAGCCATGTTTTTTCTGGTATGTTAATTATTTCTCAATGAAGCTGTTAAGGAACCTGGGAGACTGGAGTGAGGATTGAAGTAGCCATCATCGTCTTGCAGTGACTCAGCCTCTCTGGAACGCCCATCTGCTCCCCACCCCCAGGGCTCTGCATCACTGGCCCTCTTGCTCAGCCCCCGTGTTCTTGCCCACAGAAGAGTTCCAGGCCCTGCTGAAGAGACTGCCCGATGACCGGTTCCTCAACTCCACAGCCATCTCCCAGTTCTGGGCCATGGACACCAGCCTGCAGCACCGCTACCAGCAGCTGGGCTCCAGTTTGAAGGTGCTGTTCAAGAAAGCCCACCGAATTGTCCGCCGGCTCTTCAACCTCTGCAAACGCTGCCACCGGCAGCCCCGCTTCCGCCTGCCCAAAGAGAGGTGAGTGCACCCAGAAGTACAGTCCAATGGGAGATCCGGGTGTGGCCAGCCACACACGGCCTTGATTGCATTATTTTATTATCTTGACCTTGATCTTCTGTGTCATTCTCAACTGTGAGTCATGTCTGAAGAGAGACTGAGAAAAAGAGAGGTTGACTTTACCCAAATAAGTAGATTCAAATGCTATTGTCATAGTCCCCTAATTCTCACTTACTCATTGCCATGTCTTTTAGGGGAGGAAAGGGTAGAGTTAAGATCATATATCAATTACAGATGATGAAAAATATTCATATTGGATTGTTTCAAGCAACTGACTGCTCCGAATTGGTGGAGAAAAGAAAGTTGGCACACGTGCCTTCAGGAACAGTGGGTCTTGTCGTCTTTTAGGCATTTACTCATTCATCCACTCCCTCATTTGTTCAACAACTTTTTCGATTTATGTATTCATTTATTTCCATACATCTTTTTTCTGAATTTTTGTTTAAGGAATACAACTGCATGCATTAAATATATACAGATTTGGGAACATGATGCTTCTTCCCTCTCTCCTCAGCTCCCTCCCACCTGCCTTTCTCCCTCCTCCCTCTTCTCTTCCCATTCTTATTTTTTACAGAGATCAATTTTTAGTTAATTTTTGTACTCATAAGATTAACCCTATACTAAGTAGAAAGTTCACCAATTAGTATAAAGAAAAAAGAAGAAAAGAACAAAACCAACCAAATGAGAAAAACATCGTTCCTTGACAGTTAAGTCAAAGGCTGTTCAAAATCATCACACCACAAGGTGTCAATTTTGCTCCTATAGATTACATTTTATTTATTTATTTATTTATTTATTTATTTATTATTTTTTGACAGGCAGAGTGGACAGTGAGAGAGAGAGACAGAGAGAAAGGTCTTCCTTTGCCGTTGGTTCACCCTCCAAAGGCCGCCGCGGCTGGCGCGCTATGGCCGGTACATCGCGCTGATCCGATGGCAGGAGCCAGGAGCCAGGTGCTTTTCCTGGTCTCCCATGGGGTGCAGGGCCCAAGTACTTGGGCCATCCTCCACTGCACTCCCCGGCCACAGCAGAGAGCTGGCCTGGAAGAGGGGCAACTGGGACAGAATCTAGCACCCCGACCGGGACTAGAACCCTGTGTGCTGGCACCGCAAGGTGGAGTATTGTTACCACAGATCAGAGAGACCAGATGGTATTTGTCTTTTTTTGACTGGCTTATTTCACTAAGCACAGTGCTTTACAACTGTATACATTTTGTTGGAAATGACAGGATTTCATTTTTTTTACTGCTGTGCAGTATTCCATAGTGTATATATTCCATGATTTTGTTATGCAGACTTCAGTTGTAGACATCTGGGTTGATTCCATATTTTAGCTATTGTGAATTGAATTAAAATGAACATGGGGGCACAGATCACTCTTTCATGTGCTGATTTCATTTCCTTTGGATAAATTCCCAGGGGTGGGATGGCTGGGTCATATGGTAGGTCTGTACTCAGCTTTCTGAGGTATCTCCATACTGTCTTCCACAGTGACTATACCAGTTTACATTCCCACCAACAGTGGATTAAGGTACCCTTCTCCCTACATCCTTGCCAGCATTTGTTGTTTATTGATTTCCATATAGAAGCCATTCTAACAGGATGAGGTGAAACTTCATTTCCCTGATGGCTAGCAATCCTGAGCATTTTCTCATGTGTCTATTGGCCATTTGAATTTCCTCTCTTGAGAGATGTCTGTTCAGGTCCTTTGCCTATTTCTTGCCTAGGTTATTTGTTTTGTGGTTGTTTAGTTTCTTGAGCGCTTTATACATTCTGGAAGTTAATTCTTTGTTTCAGAGTTCACAGGTATTTTCTCCCATTCTGTTGGTTGCCTCTTGGCTTTGCTGAGTGTTTCCTTGGCAGTATAGAAGGTTCTCAGTTTGATGTAATCCCACTGGTTAATTTTGACCTTGATTGCCTGTGCTTCTCTGATATTTTCCAACAGTCTTTCCTATGCCAGTACCCCCAGTGTTCTCTAGTAACTTGATGGTATCATATTGTAGATTTAGGTGTTTGATCCATGTTGAGTGGATTTTTGTGTAAAGTGTGAGGTAGGGGTCTTGTTTCATACTTCTGCATGTGGAGATCCAGTTTTCTCAGCACCATTTGTTGAAGAGGCTGTCTTGGATCCAGGGGTTGATTTTTACTCTTTTGTCAAAGATAAGTTGGTTACAGATGTGTGGATTAATTTATGGAGTTTCTATTCTGCCCCAATGGTCTACACAGCTGTTTTTGTGCCAGTACCAGGCTGTTTTGATTATAACTGTCCTGTAGTATGTCTTGAGGTCTGGTATTGTGATGCTTCCCCTTGGTCTTTATTGTTTAAGATTGCTTTAGCTATTTGGGGTCTCTTGTGTTTCCATATGAAATTTAGCATCATATATGCATATATATATATCATATATATACACATATATATGATATATCTATTTGAATGTTGTTGGTATTTTGATTGCAACCACATTGAATGTATAAATTACTTTCATTAGTATGGACATTTAAGAGATGTTGATTCTTCCAATCCATGACCATGGAAAATTTTTCTAATTTTTCATGTTATCTTCTATTTCTTTCTTTAATGTTTTATAATTGTCATTATAGAGTTCTTTTACATCCTTGGTTAAATTTATTCCAAAGTATTTAAGTTTTTTGTAATTATTATAAATGGGATTGATCTTAGAAGTTCTTTCTCAGCTATGGCATTGCCTGTGTATACAAAGGCTATTGATTTTTGTGCATTGATTTTATATCCTGCTACTTTACAAAACTCTTTTATGAATTCCAACAGTCTTTTTGTGGAGTCTTTTGGGTTCCCTATGTATAGAATCATGGCATCAGCAGAGAGTGGTAGTTTGACTTCTTCCTTCCGTATTTGTATCCTTTTGATTTCTTTTTCTTGCCTGATGGCTCTGGCTAAAACATCCAGGACTGTATTAAATAGCAATCAATCATGAGAGTGGGCATCCTTGTCTAGTTCTGAATCTTAATAGGAATTCCTCCAGTTCCCCATTCAGTAGGATGCTGGTTGTGTGTTTGTTATAAATTGCTTTGATTACACTGAAGAATGTTCCTTCTATACCCGATTTGCTTCAAGTTTTCAGCATAAAAGGGTGTTAAATTTTGTCAAATTAGGGTGAATTTAGGTGGGTGTATGTGTCCAGCAATCTCTCCATTTTTTTCTGGGTTTCCTGACTTGTTAGGATGCAATTTTTTGGTAGTAATTCCTGATGTTTCTTTTTATTTCTGTGATATCTTTTGTTACATTTCCTTTTTTGTCTCTGATTTTGTTGTTTTGGGTCCCCCCCCCTTTGGTTAGTTGGGCCAATGGTGTACCTATTTTGTTTATTTTTTCAAAAAAAACCAGCTCTTCATTTCATTGATCTTTTGTATTTTGTTTTGGCTTCAATTTTGTTTATTCCTTCCTTAATTTTAATTATTTCTTTTACTATTTGGGGGTTTGGTTTGTTGTTTTTCTAGGTCCTTGAGATGCATTGACAGCTCATTTATTTGCTGACTTTCCAATTTCTTGATGTAGGCACTAATTTCTATAAACTTCCCTCTTAATACTGTTTTTGCTGTATCCCATGAGTCTTTATGTCAGGTATTGTCATCATTCATTTCCATAAATGTTTTTATTTCTCTTTTGATTTATTTTATGAAGAAATCATTTAGGATAATGTTGTTCAGTCTTCATGTGTTTCCATATATTCTTGAGATTCTTGAATTGATGGTTTCAAGCTTCAATCCACTGTGGTCAGAGAAGGTGCATGGTATGATTTTGATATTTTTGAACTTGCTGAGAATTGCTTTATGGCCTTGTATATGGTCTATCCTAGAGAAATTTCTGTGCACTTCTGAGGAGAATGTGTATTCTGCCACTGTGGTGTGAAAAGTTCTGTAGATATCAGTTAGGTCCATTTTGTCCATATTGTTGATTAGTTTTCTTGTCTCTCTGTTGATTTTCTGTCTGGTTGATCTATACATTGATGAAAGTGCGGTGTTGTTGTCCCTCATTACTATTGTATTGGAGTCTAAGTCTTCTTTTAAATATGTTAACAGTTCTTTTAGATAGCCAGGTGCCCTATTATTGGGTGTGAATACATTTATTATAGTCACATCTTGCTGTTTTATTGATCCCTTAATCATTACATAGTGTCCTTCTTTGTCTCTTTTAACAGTTTTTGTATTAAAGTCTATTTTTCTGCTACAAGGATGGCTACCCCTGCCCTTTTTCAATTCACATGGAATATATTTTCCATCCTTTCACTTTCAGTCTGAGTGTATCTTTGTTGGAGAGGTGTATTTCTTGTAGGCAGCAAATAGATGGGTCTTATTTTTAATCCATTCAGCCAGTCTATCTTTTTAACTGGAGAGTTGAGGCCATTTACATTCCAGGTGACTATTGACAAGTAACGACTTGGCTCTGCCATTTTTCTATGAATATTCCTATTTACTTTGGATTTCTTTTGTACTTTTACTGAGGGATTTTCTGTCTTTGTATTCTTTCATGATGATGTCTTTCTTGCTGTGCAGCACATCCTTCAGCATATTTTGCAAGGCTGGATGTGTGATGACAAATTCTTTCAATTTCTCTTTGGTATGGAAGGTTTTTATTTCACCTTCATTTATAAATGAGAGCTCTGCAGGGTGCAGTATTCTGGGTTGACAGTATTTTTCTCTTAAGATTTGGACTATATCTTGCCACTGTCTTCTAGCCTGTAGGGTTTCTGATGAGCAGTCAGTTGTGAGTCTAATGAGAGATTCTCTAAAAGTAGTCTGGCGTTTCTCTTGTGCACATTTTAGAATCTTTCCTTTCTGCTTTACTGTGGAAAGTTGGACTACAATGCTGTGAAGATCTTTTTTGGTCATGTCTGTTAAGAGTTCTGTGTGCTTCCTGTACTTGGAAATTTCTTTTTTTTCCCCCAAATTAGGGAAATTTTCAGTAATTATTTCACCAAGTAGACCTAGTCCCTTGTCTCTTTCCACATCTATAGGCACTCCTAAGACCTGTATGTTGGGTCATTTGATAGTATCTCATTTATCTCCAGCACTGGTTTTAAATTTTCTAATTTCTTCTTAGTTTTGGGGTGACAGTAAAATTTCTAGAGATTTGTCTTCTAGCTCAGGTATTATTTCTTCTGCCTCACCAACTCTGTTGTTAAGGCTTTCCACTGCATTTTTTATTTTATCTATTGAATTCTTAAATAGAAATCAAAATACTAGACATTAAGATCTTAATTTCATGGGAAATTTTTTCATTCATATCATATATGGTTTTCTTTAGTTTGTGGATTTGCTTCTCATTACTTTTAAGTAATCCTATGATTATTTTTTGAATTCCATTTCCAGCATTTCCTCAATCTCTTCATCTTCACAATCTGATATTGAAATCTAGCTGTTTCTTGAATTTCTGCATTTATTTTTAGGCATTTGTGGGATTTTTTTTTCAGTGCTCCAGGGTAAAACCCAAGTTGGGTGTGGTAGCTCTCCTGTGGTTAACTGGATTGAGAGGAATGGTCACCTCTATTGGTGTGACTGTCCCTTCTCCTCCAAGCTGAGGAATGCCTAGATATTAGCCCCCAGTGTGTGTAGCACTAATCCACACCGCCATATGGACCACACATAAGATATGCAGAGTCCTTCTTGTGAGCAGGGTTCCCTGTGCTATTAGCTGCTCTAGGCACTCTAGGAGCTCTAGGAGCTCTGAGAGTGTGCAGAAGCACTCTGTTACACCCTGCCTCCTCTCATGAAAATAGTGTTTTCTCATTCTCAGTCCCCAGTGCTCTCAGTGTCAAGGATTGCAAGAGGGACCACTCTGCCCTGGTAGACCATCCTATCCACGGGAGGTTTCCGTGTTCCCAGAGCCGGTGTGTGGTCCAGCCCACTGGATCAATTCTGATCCTCCCAACTGGATTCGATGCCCTTGGGGAATGTGGGTTTTTCTCTCTGGTAAGATCTCTGGTTCACAGGTGCACAAAATACTCACCAGCTGCAACTCTGCTCGCTTCACAGTCGTGCTGGGCATGCAGGAGTGTTCCACTGGTGATACTTCACTTCTGTAGGGATGGCGCCCCCTCTGTTCCCGTTGCTGGGTGGGTACAGCTGGCACGGTGGAGACCCTCTCTATTGGTTGCTCTTGAACTGCTGCGGTTGACCCTGCCAGCTGGGTGAGGGTGACCCCAATAATTCTGGGTGTGCATATACAAGCTGGGGTGGCTGCTACCTGCCTGTTTCCAAAAATGGTGCCAGCCCTCCCACTGCTGGCTGCAGGGGCAGCTGTCCTGAGGGATCCGGGCTGGACTCAAAAAAGGTACAGCTCACTAAGCTCTCCCTCCTGCTGTATCAACAGCAGCTTGGACCCATGCACTCTGATCTCACCTGGTTTGCCAGGGCGGTTGCTGCCTTCCCCGGATCCAAGCTGCTCTGTGGTTTGTCGTCTTGTTGCACCTTGCCGCGTGTCTTCACTTCTGCACAGATCCGAGCCTTTTCTACTTCTTTCGCAGGACCTCCCACTGCAGTTCCCCCTGCGGATTTACCCTGACAGTGTGCTTTCTCCACTTTTTTAAATATTAATTTTATTCTCAGCCTAAATCAGACCACCCTCCCATCACTATTCCACCATCTTGGAACCTCCTTCCATCTGTTCAACAACTTTTTGCGAAGAACATATTGCATGTATCACTATTATGCTTTAAAGGACTTTAGTGAATTGGGAAACTCTAGCAAACATATATAAACATAAAATCTAGAAAATTATAACTGCGGCAGCCATTTAAATTCATGGTGGGGTTAGAGGAGTCTATCCTAGTGGCATAAACCAGAGAGGAAATCCTGGGTGGAGAAGAAAGTCATGGCCAGGCTGTGCAGGGAAGGTGGAAATGGCCAGCAGCACACACGGTGGGACAGGACACCAGTCGGGGAAGCTGCCTCCCCAGCAGCACAGAGGTATGGCTCCCACTGAGGCCCAAGCAAGAAAGGAAGCCTGAGTGGAGAGGACAGGCCAACAAAGATCACTGATTCCTTTTACAACGAGTCATTAAGTGCCTGCTAGCAGTTGTCCTCATTTCTGGCAAGATGCTGCTCTGTGGTGGTGTCCCCGCTCTGCCCTGGGAGCAGAGCAGCCAGTCCTCAAACCAGCACTCCAATATGAGATGCCGGTGTCACAAGCAGTAGCTTACCTTGCCGGGCCACAGCCAGCACCAGCCCGTGATTGACTCTGGCTTCATTTTTCTCTCCTCTCCCAAGGTCCTTGTCCTACTGGTGGAACCGAATCCAGTCCCTCCTGTACTGTGGAGAAAGCACCCTCCCTGGCACCTTCCTGGAACAGAGCCACAGCTGCACCTGCCCCTACGACCAGTCCTCCTGCCAGGGCCCCATCCCATGTGCCTTGGGTGAGGGGCCTGCGTGTGCCCACTGTGCTCCAGACAACAGCACACGCTGTGGGAGCTGCAACCCGGGCTATGTGCTGGCCCAGGGGCTGTGCCGGCCGGAGGTGGCCGAGTCCCTAGAGAACTTTCTCGGGCTGGAGACTGACCTGCAGGACCTGGAGTTGAAGTACCTGCTGCAGAAGCGGGACAGCCGCATCGAGGTCCACTCTATCTTTATCAGCAATGACATGCGTCTGGGCAGCTGGTTTGACCCTTCGTGGAGGAAGCGCATGCTCCTCACCCTGAAGAGCAACAAGTACAAGCCCGGGCTGGTCCACGTGATGCTGGCCTTGTCCCTGCAGATCTGCCTCACCAAGAACAGCACCCTGGAGCCAGTCATGGCCATCTACGTTAACCCCTTTGGGGGCAGCCACTCGGAGAGCTGGTTCATGCCTGTGAATGAGGGCAGCTTTCCAGACTGGGAGAGGACTAATGTGGACGCAGCTGCTCAGTGCCAAAACTGGACAATCACCTTGGGGAACAGGTGGAAGACCTTCTTTGAGACAGTCCATGTTTACCTACGGAGCCGAATCAAGTCCTTGGATGACAGCTCCAATGAGACAATCTACTATGAGCCCCTGGAGATGTCTGACCCCTCCAAGAACCTGGGCTACATGAAAATCAACACCTTGCAGGTCTTTGGCTATAGCCTGCCCTTTGACCCAGATGCTATCCGGGACTTAATTCTCCAGTTGGACTATCCGTACACTCAAGGTTCCCAGGACTCTGCCCTACTGCAGCTCATTGAGCTTAGGGACCGGGTGAACCAACTCTCCCCACCTGGCAAAGTCCGCCTCGATCTCTTCTCCTGCTTGCTCCGGCATCGGCTCAAGCTGGCCAATAACGAGGTGGGCAGGATCCAGTCCTCCCTGAGGACTTTCAACTCGAAGCTACCAAACCCTGTGGAGTATGAGACAGGCAAACTCTGTAGCTAATGGGGGGCCCACTCCAGCACTGGGCAGAGATGGGATGCATGAATGCACGCAGGGTGCCTGCCAAGATAATCCAAGCCCTCACCTTAGTGCCAACAGGGTGCTCCCACGAGACCGGAACCCGGGGGCTTGGACTGAAGTAGCCAGGAGAGAAAGCAGCAGTCACTACACACGTGTGTGTATGCACCCGCACACACACACACACTCACACACTCACACAGGGAAGCCACGACTCAGCAGTCTCGGGTCTGTAAAGTCGGTGCTTTCTAAAACGAATGCATTGGAGGAAAGCAGCCAAGGAGGAGATTAAGAACCAGCCAAACCGCGAGATAAGCAAAAGTCCTTAAAAGTGATTCTTGTCATTCAAGGAGGCAGGAGGGGACAAAGGTGGGAGGCGTGGGCGCTCTCCTCCCCTCTCTGGAGTCACTTTTGTATTCTTTTTAACCAGATTTCTTAAAATGCCGTTGTTTAGTGAATCCCTACATGGTTCTTACTTTTTTTGTATGCTGCCTCCTCTGTGTCCTGCTGACGACTGCTTCCTGGAGCCGCTTCCTTAGGAAACGCGACGCGGGCAAGCACCAGAGGAGCCCACACCCAAGGGCGGGCAGGCGGCCAGCCTCCTCGCCCCTCGCCGCTCCAGCTCACTTCCTCGGCCTCCCCAGGGTCAGGGCCCTGGCTCGTTCCACGTCTCCCTCATGGTCCACCCAGAGCTCCTCCCGTGACAGCACCTACCCTGCCCGAGAAAGCAGCTCTGTCAAGGTAGAGAGAGACAATGGATAGGGAGATGTTCTTTTTTTAAAAAAACAAAAACAAAAAAATATTTATTTTGTGACTGTTTTCCTTGTCAATCTGCTCCAGCCACATGAACATCTGAGTAAAAACTAAATTGATTCAATATATTTTTCACAAAGGCCTTTTTTAGGGGAAAAAAAAAAGAGAGAAGAGTCTAGTTGGCTGGGTTGCCTGGATGTTTTTCTAATTGCTCTGTGTGTGTGTGTGTGTGTGTGTAAGAGAGCGAGCGAGCGAGCGAGAGGCAGACACAGGGTGGCCAAGGGTGAGCGATGTTGCTTTGTGGGAACAGGGTGGTTTCTGTATACATGTGTATGCATGCCCATGTTGACTGGGGTATAGTTTGTGTGTTGGGGGGGGGGGAGGCGATTAAATGAGTCATGCAGGACTCTCAAAGAGGTATCCTGCTCCACCCCACTCCTTTCTTCCAGATGAAGGGACAGATGCAAGTCCCAGCACCAGGACAGTGGTTTGACACCTCTGGCTCTCAGAGAATGGCGGCCTTTGTGCTGGGCAGACACCTGCTAAACGGGGCTCGTCTTTCCCCAAACTGCCCTGGGTATCAGGGAGACCCACACTCACCATCAGAGGGTCTACAGCTGTCCTTCACGGGCCATGAGAATGAAGCTGGTGTGGCACTGGTTTCCTCCCCTCCAACAGCCATTCCCCCAACCCAACAAGCAGCTTTGACATAAACCCCGCAGAACACTGCATCCCTCTCCCCTTAGCTCCGCTCCCAGGCGGTTGGAGAATCCCTTGACAGCCTGCCCTTTGGAGAGCCATTTCTATGTCTGTGCTCCACGTGTTCTCAGCGTGCTGCATAGGCATGATAACTCTGGTTTTAACCAGGAGAAGGTCACCACAGAAATACTAAGATCTCATGCCCTGCCTTTGGGGCATCTCAGGCGGCATAAAGTGAAGTGGGAGACAGGGGAAAGATGGTCCTGTCTTTCTGTCCATGAGCCTCTAGGCTTCTTGTCCCCCAGAGAAGGGTTTTAAACTGCATATAATCATAGTGCCGTATTTTGGCCCTACAAGGACACACACTCCTTGGTAGATGAGCAGCCTAGGGATTTATTTCTATTCAAGTCCCAGAAGGCTTCTAGGGTAGAAAGTTAGAGTCACGTGATGATGATTGAGGTGTGGACATGGTGTGGGCTGTTTCTAGTTTAAACCATTGCTTGCTTTGGGGTGTTTGTGCCAATGTCCTCTCCTGTAGGGATGGAAACACAAGATGACATCTTCAGCTACAGGAGTGTCGAGGTGTACCCAAGGAGGGTGTTTTTGATAGGGAGGGGGTTGCAAACAGGGGGAAGGCTTCGATAACTTGCGTCTGATTTCAGCACTATGTTTGTGCACGTCTGTATGCTGTAGGAGGTAGCGGATAGAGACTTCCACTCACCAAAGGCACGCCTTTGAGGTAGCAAATTGCCAAAAGCCACGCACAGCAATACTGAGAGTGGCCAGGACAGCACAACGTTAACAGTGTGGGGCCTCGGTAGGGTGGGTGTGATTGCCGCCACGGGACCTGAGTCAGGACACGAGCGAGGGCTCACATCCCACCTGGGGCCAGTCCCTCAGATGTGCTGAGGGGCAGGAATCCTCAGCCACCTGTCTCTGAGTCAGAGCCCAGAGGAGGGGAAAGCGAACCTGTGGAGTTGCTCGTAAGAATGCTGTGTTTCATTCTTGCAGAGCTGAGAGGTACCATCTTAGAAGACCTCTGGGGAGATGAAGGCGTGCTGTGTCTTGGTTCTAGGAATATGAGGGAACTTCAAAACACTGGCTGAAAAACAGAATTAAAAGATCAGCTCATTACAGCACAAAACAGCTTCAAATCCATGCATAGTTTTTTCATAATACATACTTTTCGTGAACTTTTTAAGGACCCCTTGTCTCTGCGTCCAGCTAGAGATTTCTATTGCTTCTTTGTTTGAAGGTTGAAACCATGAATCCGGGTGTACCAACTCCATCTAAAGATACTATACATATTGGTGCCTTTTGAGCTCAGATGCAAGTACCAGATTGATAGAAGAGCTAAACACACTACTAATTGCAAGAGCAGACATTTTTATATCTGACCTACTCGTCTCTTATCTGGGAGGAATGTCTGACTTACCTTTTCTGGGACAGTGACGGGGTGCCTGGTGTGGAAGAGTGAGGGTCAAAGCAGCAGACTAAAGACTTTGCTTCTAAAAGACAGATAGGAGAAGAGGACATAAAGGATGGACAGAATCCCTTAAGAGGCTTTTTAAAGGCTTGAAACCATTGATTCAGCATAGACTTTCCCAGAAAGCTGGGCTGACAAATCCTCTGATAAGAAAGGGCTGTCAACAGTTGAAATTGTTACCTTTAGAGTCTATAATAACCTAAAGATGTGAACCACCTATTCTCAGACACAGTTGCAAATAAAGAATTGTCACTAATTAGTACGGGGTTGTTAATGTTGGTGAACTCATTGTGGGATTAAGAGCTAAATCACATTCCAGTTACCACCATGCATTAGATAATAACAACCAGGAATTCAAGCCTTAATTGTAACCCCAAAGAACTAATACATCAAATTGCAAATCTGCCCTAATGCTGGAGACTAATACCTCTAATACTAAATAATATACTTAATACCTGCTGCTAATAATACAGTACTGTGCTGTGCAAGCATACGCACACATCAACAGCTAAAAACATAAAATATTATTTTCAATGCTAGGTGTGACAAAGAGGTCAGATCCCAGGACTTGATTTCTTTTCAAAAATATGAAAATAGTAGTTGTGATGGGCAGAGCTGCCTTGTCAGTAGATGGAATATGTTGCGTACATTACGTCCTGCCCCCAAAATATTACCTCCAAATTCTGTTTTTTCATCTGGTAGGTCTGTTCTCTTGTATTTCTGAGAGGTTTCTTTTTTGTCATTAAATTCCATGTGAAAACTAAAATATCCATATAGAGAAATAAATCATACAAAATAACCCAACAGTAAAATTGAGAATTAGGTTTTGGGAGTTTGAGAGGTCATTCAGTCTAATCTACTCCTTCCTGACATTAGGAAAAAGAGGTCAAAAACCTTGAGAGGTTGAAGAGCTTGCCCAAGGTTGAATCGATTAGCAGAGCTGGGAATAGCAATCTCAGCTGGTAACTTCTCCACGTCTCTTTGCCAGTGACATCTGGGTCACAGGGCATGAGAAGGACCCCGTTCAGGATGTGGGAACGTGGGAATGGAGGAGGACAGAGTTTTGTAGGAAGGGGAAGACTGCTAAGAGACAGGAGCATCCTCACCTCTCTCCCTATGCCTGGTTCTAGCAAAAATAGCCTGCGACCACAGCAGGTGGAAGAAAAGGCTGACATTTCTCCCCTGAGAATCTTTAGGCGTGGAGTAGACAGGCTCTCATTTAGGCTGGCAGTAGGGCAATCAGCTTGCTGATTTCCTGATGACCCTATCAACTCAATGTTTTTTAATTGCAACATCACACCTCCAATTTCCTGATATTTTCTATAAATCAACCAACTGAAGAGCTTTGAATGTCATTACAATTTTGATAATTTCTGCAAAACTGCTTCGTGGAGGCTAGAGGTTTCGGGATACTGCCAGCATCATCCAAAGGCCTTAGGTGTAGGGCCACGGTTAAGAAGGGTGTTGACGCGATACTCCACAGTATGAGGCGTCCCTGCTGCTCCCAACAGCAGAGCACAGACAATAAGCACCATGAGACCCACGCCACCCGTGACACAGAGCTGGGCTGTGCTCCTGACATGCCTGCCTTCTCTCTGGGGCAACCAGGAGGAAGGGTCTATTAGAAGATTCAGGTAGGGTGAGGACACTAGACGCACCCCTTGCTTTGTGGTTTCTCTTTCTGCTGCTGCCATCAGCCAGTGTTGGAACTGTGGGGCAGTCGCTCCACTTCTCTGGGCCCCGATCTGCAACCTTACAGAAGAAGGGGTTAAATTTCCCACAAAGGTGCTGAAGATCCGTCTCAATCTGTCCTTCCATTGTATTAAGATCCCTGTGGCATGGTGGGGGGGGGGGGGTTGTGTGGACCATCAAGTCATACAGGTCTGGCTTTGCATGTTGGATCTGTATGTACCATTTACGTGATCTTATTCCTTGATTCGTCCCCTTATCCCTAACGCAACTGCTTCATTCCCACCACCTTAAACTTCCCCTTCCCTCCCCTCCCCTCCCCTCCTCTCCTCTCCTCTTTAAGAACCTTCACCCCTTGCATACTTTTTCTCCACATCCTCCAACTTCCAGCATACATACATTGCCCTAAAACTCAATCTCATTCCTCCTCCCCTTCTCCCCAACACCTTCCCTCCGTCTTTCCCTCCCTTTCCTTCCCCCCCATATGAAGTACAAAGTGCTAGGCTAGGTGCAGGATAGTCAAAACTCTATGCAACATATTTCAGGCCATGGAGAAATTGTACAGAATGATGTCGGGGTGGGGGGATGCATACATAAACTGGAGTGGTAGTCTCTAATAGAGAATATGTTGATGGAGCACAGAAAAAGAAAATTACTCACTGAAATGGACTCTGATGACATCTGTGTGAACCTTTTCCTATCAATGGAAGTAATGATCTAGCCTCCAGATGTTTTACTTCTCAGTGGGGTGAAAGCTACAACATGCCATGTGCACTCCTCAGCAAATAACTATATCTATCTATCTCTATCTATATATCTATATATATATAGATATGGAGAGAGGGAGAGAGAGAGAGATACATGTGTGTGTGTGTGTGTGTGTGTATTTTGTTTTTTTCAAAAGAGTGAGAAAGAGAGAGACATCCTCTGTCTTCTGGTTCACTTCCTAAATGGCCACAATGCTTGGGGATGGGCCGGGCTGAAACCAGGAGCCAGGAGCTTCATCTGAGTCTCCCACACATGGGTGCAGGGGCACAAATACTTGGACCATCTTAGAACTGGCACCCACATGGGCGCCAGTGTTTCAGGCGGCAGCCTTACCTGCTACACCACAACGCCAGCCCTGGGCTTTGATTTCTCTACCATTTAGGATCCAGGTGTGTGATCTTTCTAAACCAACAGGGTGAGAATGAGGAGGTGAGGGAGAAGAAAGAAACTGAATTAAGTCAGAACCCGAAGGCTCCGAGCCAGC